TACCTTTCTGGCATGATTTAAAATAACCCCAAATTAAAAAGTCCCAAATCCTTTGACTCAGAAATTCAGCCAACAATAATGGTGTGTGAAGCCTTTCAGCCAGAGGGTTCTTCTTGTCACGGAGAGGGATGTGGTGCGGTTTTCTTGGGTGCTAAAGGAAAAGCCAGTGGTGACAAGAGCTCTTGGCTGTCCCAGTGCCAAACAACAGTGGGGCCAGGAGAGAGGTGTGAGCGTGAAACGGGAGAGAACGTGGGAAGAAAATCTGTGAAATATTTTTTCTTGGTATTTACTCGTTACAGGTTTTCTATGTGTACCATTTTAAGATCAGTTTTCTCCACAATCAGATGTTGTCTGTCATTGCCTTTCGGCCACTCCTTCCTGCTTTCCCTTGTTAGAGATTGCAGTTGCATGGAGGGGGGGTGGAAAATACCCTAAGTTAATTTTTCTGACATTTGTTTTCATTAGGTGGATTAAGTGACATAAATAAGAGACAAGTTCTGCCCAGAGAATCCTCCAAAAAATCTCATTTTGAGTAGGACTTTTGTGTGGCTGTTAGATCTTTAGAGACAAAGCTTTACAAAACTTTGTGAAAATTGGGGGGAATGGCAGCAAGAGGGGAAAAAATATCCCGTTAGCCAGTTCTGCTCAGCTGGCTGATGATTTATAGCTAAATACTTGTTGCCATAGTTGCCTGTACATTAAAAAACCCACTGTTTCTGATACTAAAAAAGTATAGTTACTAAATTTATTGGAGTAAATAATGACCTGCCAAAGCAGGTCCACCTATTTTTCTGACATTTGTTTTCATTAGGTGGACTAAGTGACATAAATAAGAGGCAAGTTCTGCCCACAGAGAATCCTCAAAAAAATCTCATTTTGAGTAGGACTTTTGTGTGGCTGTTAGATCTTTAGAGACAAAGCTTTACAAAACTTTGTGAAAATTGGGGGGAATGGCAGCAAGAGGGGAAAAAATATCCCGTTAGCCAGTTCTGCTCAGCTGGCTGATGATTTATAGCTAAATACTTGTTGCCATAGTTGCCTGTACATTAAAAAACCCACTGTTTCTGATACTAAAAAAGTATAGTTACTAAATTTATTGGAGTAAATAATGACCTGCCAAAGCAGGTCCACCTAGGACATGTTCCTGTGGGACCTGCTCTGGGTGGCCCTGCTTTGGCAGGGGGTTGGACTAGATGATCTTCAGAGGTCCCTTCCAACCCCAGATCATTCTGTGATTCTGTGAAATGCTAGAATAGCTGATGGCAGTAGAAAACAATGTTCTTTCCAACAGTAGTGATATTTGCATTTTGTGACATGATGTTAATATAAACAATGTCTACTGTACAGTAGATGGAAAATTTCTTGTGTATGTTGTAACACATACCATGTGTGTCCAAATGAGGAATGGAAAGGGAAAGACCTTTACATCTGCTACTTCAGGTGTCCAAAACAAAGGCAACTGGACCATCCCTGATATAACTGAACATGAGGCAACTGGACCATCCCTGATATAACTGAAATATTGTACATTGTTCCTCCTATCCTGGATAAGTTCAGAGACAGGAAATAGCCAAGCTGTGCATTAGTCATCAACACAGTATGGACACCTTCAACTTAGGACAAGCCTGAGCTCACATGTGGAGCGTATCATATGCAGGACGTACTTAAGTGTGGCAAGACGATCCCTTTTAGGACAAAATCTGATAATCCAAGAGAAAAAGGTTAAAAGGTGTGAGCGGAAAATCACCTTTCCTCCTATGTGCATAGATGCTCTGTTGAGCAAAGACTCTCCTCACTGCTGACCATCATACAAGCGGTGAGGGAAGTGGGTGGGAAGGTGAAACCTGGGGGTCATTTGGTAGAGAGAGTCCATGGGTGGAAACTCCCCTGGAAAGAGTGACTGTAGAAGTGGCTATAGTCTGTAGAAGCAGCTATAGTCTTTAGAAGTGGCTATAGTCTGTAGAAGCAGCTATAGTCTGTAGAAGCCGATTGTTTTGAGCCAGGAACGAAGAGGGATCTGTTTCTCTTGACAACCAACCTTGATCTGTTGTGCTGTTGGGTCAACATTTGGGTGTTCTTACTTTATAATTTACAGCATGTATTAGAAATGAGAATATAGCTTAGTGTGCATGGTGCACACAGCTTTGTAAAGGGATAGGGAGAATAAATATGAATCCCAAGTCCCTAAAACACATTATCTTTTTTATATACTAGATTTCTATGATGGGTCACGTTGCTTCCACAAGACAGAGAAGATGTCTTTGCAATTCTTTTTTAATCTGTCTCACTATGGCTGGGAGTCTCTCACCCAGGACTTGTGCGTCTTTAGACAGTTGCACGGAAAACATGCAAAGCTGGGAATAAAAATGTGGAATAACTACTTGTCCTAACATCTTATCTGCTTATTTATAGAGCCCTGCTTGTATTTTGAAGCCGTTGTTTAATCCAGATAATTCTGTGACTGTTGTCCCATTTCTTTGGGATTTTTTTGATTGGAGTTTTTTCTTTTTTGCAGATTAATGTATTTGTATAGAATCGATGCTGGAAGTACGGTAGACAGATTTCTGGAGAATGTGGCCTTCTGGATTGCTTTCAGATTATGCCATTTGTTCCACTGGAGTCAACATACAGGAAAATGGGAACTTAGAGAATGAGAACATAGTGATGAATTTACCATTTTCAGTAAAGCTGCTGAAAGTCATGCTGCGGCTGAAAATACTAAATGTTTAAGTCTAATTTAATTTGAAAGTATGCATTTAATTAATGCTCTACATCCATTAACATTCAAAAATGAAAGTATCTGCAGAACCACTTCTCCCTGGAGTAATTTGTCACCAGAAATAAAATGTCTGCCTTTGAAGTGAAGCAGTTTTTGGGGAGCGGGCCGTGAGCGACGGAACCCGTGTCAATGTCCCGGGCTAATCCAGAAGAGTGGGCTTGAAGTTCTTGGCGTTGGGACCTCACCAGTTATAAAACCAGTAGTAGTTGTCTCAGGTGCTGTTGTGACAGCAGATGCCACCTTCACTGAAGTGACAAACTCCCATTGATTTTTAAATCACTGACTCGAGCGTTGCCCACAAGTGCTTCCCAGTTGAGAAAACGTTCACAGCGTGCAAGACCCTGCTTTTTGATTAAAAAAAAAAGATGAATTTTCTCTTTAGAGGGAACACCGATCTTTATGCAATGATTTGAACTCTCTTTTCAAAGTGTGAATAAATGTAACTGTTAGGAAAGAAGAGCAAAGACGTGATTAGATGCACAGCAAATGCAACGCCACGCACTTCCTTCCCCCCATGCTTCCTTCCTCCTCCTCCTCCTGTTCCTGCATCTCTCCTGTAGCCTTTTGCATTATTTCCTTTGCCTTTTGCATTATTTCCTTTGCCTTTTGCATTATTTCCTTCACCTTTTGCATTATTTCCTTCGCCTTTTGCATTATTTCCTTTGCTCTTTCCAGCTCTTGCTATGAGGTGTGGCGTTCCTGCTGGAGCTATTTTCGCTATAAAGCCCATTTAATGCAGTCAGTGAGGATTTGGGTCACTGGATTGTAAGCATTGTAGGGCAGTGCCTGCAAAGTGGCAGCGGATTCCAGGGGTGTGAAAGGGCCAGTGGAATTTTTTTTGCTCTCTATACAGTTTGTGTGCAACAGACTCCTCGGACGCAATAATAGGTCTCTTAATTATTCCACAAAAATTTGGTATTAATATACAAAATAGTTTATCTTTTCAGGACTTATCATTCTTCTGTGCCTTAATAACGCCAGGGTTAAATAACTGCTTGGCTGGGCAAAGGAGCTCTGATTTTTTTTTTCTTCCGCTTAATTTGTTTGAGCTCAAAGGGATGATTTGACTTCTGATCATGGGAAAAGCATTTCATAGCACACTGGAAAGCTGTCTGGTTTTATAGCTAACGGACTGCATGGCATGGTTGGCAACAGAGGGATAATGGAAAGCTAACAAATAATGAAAAGCTGAGTGATTGAAATAGCAGAGCTGCAGGGAGAGGAGAAGGAAAGCAGGGAAGGAAAATGGAAAAAACGAACAGCACGGAAGTAGGGAATGACCAATATTTTGATCAGTATGGAGATATGTCTCCACACCAAGATTAACCCCACTCATACCTTAAGCATTCTCCATCTGCCAGCTCACGAGAGCTCTTAACTCGTGCACAGTGACACATTTCATACAAGTCACTCAGCTTGCCTTGAGGAAGGAGGGTAGGTTGGAATCTAAATATTTTTTCCACTACTAAGACAATGACTACTCTGCCGGAGCCTCCCCGACTCCCATTAATTGTGCAGTACGTTCCCAAATTCCTACTGGAGTGGGTGTGCATAGGATCTCACAATCTTACTTGCAATAGCATTGGAAGTTCTCAGGGCTACCGAGAGATGCTGCAGCACTTGGTTTGTGTTTACACTTGGGTGAAGACCCCTCAGTTTTGGTAACAGGGATAACTCTTCAGATCCCCAGCGGGGAGGTGGATTCCTTGCTCATTTTCTAACCGGTCTCTCCGGATGGGATACGGTCTCTGGGGCAGCTGTGCTTTAAGCCAGATTCCTCTGCAAATGTAACAAGAATTACTGGAAAGAAAAGACTTAACTCGGGGTATCAGAAGTGGGAAGGCTGTCTCCTGATGTTAAAAGAGAATGACTAGCAGTTGGATAGCTGTGCTCTTTGCGGCTGGATGTGTGTGTTAACGTGGAGGGAGCCAGCTACAATTAATTTCCTGACACGCTGCCAGTTGTGGCAGAGCTTGCTGGTGCAAGGCTTGCTCTTACACTTGTTTTCATGGTAAGAATGAGGGGGTAGGAGTTCAGTTTGTGCTGTGTTTTCCTGCTGCACCTTCTCGTGCCTCTCTTCTGCAATGCCGGATGGAAAAAGAGCTGCTCCTTTCTTATTCTGATGTACTGCTTTTCCTGAGCTTTGACATCACTGAAAAATGACTAATACTCTAAATACTATCCTTTCTTTTTTTTTTTTTTTTTTTTTTTTTCTTCACAGAATCTGTACCAAAACAGGTTCCTGGGCCTGGCAGCCATGGCGTCTCCATCTAGGAACTCACAGAATCGGCGCCGGTGCAAAGAGCCTCTCAGATACAGCTATAACCCTGACCAGTTCCATAACATGGACATCAGGAACAATGCCCATGAGACGGTCACCATTCCTAGGTCTACCAGTGACACGGACCTTGTCACTTCAGACAGTCGTTCTACCCTGATGGTCAGCAGCTCCTACTACTCCATCGGGCACTCGCAGGACCTGGTGATCTACTGGGATATCAAGGAGGAGGTGGATGCAGGGGACTGGATCGGCATGTATCTCATAGGTAAAGTCCCCCTTACTCCTTCCCCTTGGGGTTTCTTGCTGCTTTTGTTACTTGGAAGCAATATGTTAATGTGAGCTAATGGTAATAATGAGTTAATACATCTCTGTAGAGCGTAGTCTTTAAGTGGGTTTATATATGACAAGATCCCTTCTGCTCCTGAATTGCTGGTTGCAGCCCTGGCCCTTGCTTTTTCTTCAGTAGAGACATGGGAATGCTTTCTCTTGATAATCAAGTTTCTTGAATTTCAAGATATTTCCATTTTAAAGCCATTTGGATTTGGGGAAAATACCTCTTCTATAAAAAAAAAGCATAATATTTTCAGGATTTCCTCTGGTGAGTCCTTGAGTAATCTGTGACAGATGAGAGGTTTTACAAGTCAAGAATATGAATCATTTAAAAACCCCGTGAAACAGAATGACTCTTCCTGTGTAGCCAAAGGGTATTTTGATATGAACAATAATTATAGACTGAGGCAGTCTGGAGTTGTCCCAGAAAGTTTTCCATTTTTTTGTGTCTATATTGGAAGCTGTATTCAGCCATGTACATTAGCATATTTTTGGCATCTCCATCTAGCAAATCCAGCCCTACGTAAGAGTAATAAGAAATGGTTTCAATTGACTTTTACCTGATTGTTTCAATTCCGTATAAAACTCACATATAAACCAGTATAAAGGTTTTTTTAACCTGGTTTGGTTCCTGCTGCCTAGACTGAAGTCTGTGTTAACTCTTTGCCCTCCAGTAAGTTTTGGACATTGTGGGTCAGTTTCAGCCACATTCCTTTATGAATTAGAGGTCTTAAAAATGCGAAGTTCTTAAATGTTTGCTGAAAACCAGGGGCTTGGTAAAGAAACCAGACTCAAATCCGTACCCCCACAAAGGGAAACGTTGGTAAAATGCCACTCTTACCTGTTTGGGTAAATGTGCCTAGCACTAAGCAGGTATTTTAATTCCAATAGCAATATTTTACAGATATCAAGCCAAACAAAACCAGATAAAACATATGATATTGTGAGTTGGACTTTTGGAGCAATCATAGGGGGCATTGTAGGGGGCTACGGCGTTCTTTAGTGGGTAGGACCAGGAGGGTCATGTGCTGGGGATGTTGGGAACACAGGTGTTGGTGACATGAGAAGGGTCAGGATGGGAGGTCTGAGGAGGTAGAGGAACCTTGGTGGCACAGCATTAAGCTTTAGAGAATGAGTTGAGGGTATGGGAGAAGGGGAACACAGAAGTGGCTACTTAGGACACGGAGGGAAAGGAGTGGGGGTTACAGTAAGCCTAAAATACCCTGCTTTGAAAATAAAAGTAGGTTTCTTCCAATTTAAAATCTTTGAAGAAAAAAAAGCAAAGAGTGGATTTGAAACAGATGCTCTGAAAGTAGTCTGGTTTGTTGGCCTTAACAGAATTACTCGTGTTTGCAGTTAGGCTTGCAGTTGAGTGTTTTACTGGCAGAGATGAGAAGACACAGCAGCCCCCAGTACTAGGCAGTAAGAAATACTCCAAGCCTATTCTGTAGCAGCGCAGGCAACTCGTGAAGGACTCTACTGCTGTGGTAAGAGGAGGCAAAGCATACCTTCTGGTGGTCAGGAGAGTCAACAGAAGGTCCACAGAGCTGTTTTGCATTGAGCTCATTCAGCCACGTTCCATAGCTCAAATATCGTATCAAGGGATGCGAAGACCCATCCTGAATATATATTTTTTTTTGGTAGGTAACCTTAATACATGAGGGATTAACTGGGGGAGAAAAATCCACCTTGCTACTCCTGTGTAATTTATCCTATTAAATGGGATGTTGCTCCAGACACCCCACTAAATTGGAAGGGCAGATTGTGCAGTGGATCCTTGCCCCCGCTGGCTGGACGCCTGGTGTTAATGGCAATAGTCAATGGCTTGGTCAAGGAACACCCCCGCCAAATGAAACAATGAATGGTGTGTCCAGGCCCCAAGAAACCATCTGTTGACCCTTGGTGTCTTTCAAGGCGTTTTGCCTCCAGCCTCTCAGGTTCCCAATCTCAATACCTGAGGAAGGAGCAGGCAGCAGCACCCCTTGTTCTTTTTTTTCTCTTCCCCTCCTCTCGTGAAACCTGACGTAAGGTGAGATTTGGTGTTTTGGTTCCCTTAAAGAGAGAACATGGAGGCTGAAGATGGCTTTTGATGTGAGTTTGACATGGAAAACACTGGGAGTGTAAGAAGGTGACTGGCACTACGACTACGTAGACATGAATAGAGTAGGAGGAACCAGTGGGAACGGGGCTGTAGAAGCAAACAGCTGCTGAAGACGTTTTTGGGGCTTGGCTTTAGAGCAGTCTCAGTCCAGCAGACTGAGTGCCTTGAGAGGCTGTAGTGCACCTTTCAGTGCAGCTTCACCCCAGGGCAGGATGGAGTCCCTGTGCCCAAAGATCACCACACGGTCTGGTGGTGACAAAGTAGGGACAACTGGAAGGGTCATTCCAAAAGCACGCTTCTCACCTCAAAACGGTGATACATCCTGTATGTGACGTTTATGACCGGTCCATAGGGGTGGGAAATCCAGACATCCTAATGGCTTAGCTTTGTGTGTGTGTTTGTGGAGATTTTCCAAGCCTGCATTCCAGTTTGGAGAGGAAACGTTCCCGGCCTTGTGGCTATGACCTTCACAACGTAAACCGATACATGACTATGTTTTGAATTAGCAGCCAGACTGGAACAAGAGAACCCAAGAAACGATGAGCTTTTCCCCAGTCTGCTCAATAGGGGATTAGTGTTGAAGCCTATTATTACCACTTGCCTGGCAACACTCTTAACTCTTGCATCGCTGCTGGTCACTCGAGTGTTTGGCTTAAAGCCGGCTTGTGGATACAGCCCGATCCTTTAGGTGATTGTTTGGGCTGGTGAAATTTAAGCTGAAAGGTTGGAATGTGGCAATACTTTAATATTGCAGTGAGTCATGAGAAAAATGAGAAATTGTGCCCTTGGGGTGTCAGGCAGCGTGTTGTGGATTTTCTGTAAAACTCAGTGCGGGAGCATTAGAGTTATTATTCGTTATTTGTCTTGTGGGAGCTGCTGGGCATCCCAGGAAGAGGCTACCCAGAAGCAAAACAGAAGATGCTTCTCACCTAAGAGGAGTTTAATTGTTGCCATTGTAGTCCTCTAGGAAATACCCTCAAATAACTTTATACAAATGTTGGTTTTAAAGCACATAAAAGTTAGTCTGTTCTCACCACCACTGCCATCACTAAAATTTTGATGATAGCCAATAAACTGCAGGCTTCAGAACAAAGCTGTTCCAAGTCTGGGGAAATACAGACGTTATGAAAGGCTTCCAAAAGAAAAAGAGCAAAAATGATGTGGCACATAACGTTTTGATGCTGTAGGGCATTTTGGGGTGCTATTCGAAGGTTAAAGTAGCCTGAAAGGAGAGTTAAGGGAGTCCTCCCTATAGGGAAGTTCTGGGTGCTTGCTCCTCATGAAGACTCCTTTTATCTAAAAGTATCAGTTTTTCTCTGCTTCAATCCATGTGCACATTCAAAAGGGTGGCCAACTGGGAAAACGGTCTTTGCAGAAGGAGGTAAAAGCTGGATTTAGAATTGGTTATTAGAGTTAACTTTCGCTCATGGTCTCAGAAAATGGACTAGGCAGGTGGGTGATCTCATGTAAAACGGTGTGAAAAATGGAGGTTGTGTGTCTCATGGCAAAAAAATCATATTGAGTATATTATTGAGTATATCCACCCTGTAGATGCCTGAAAACATCCATGCACACCTACATGGTTTTGATGAAGGGCCGTAGAAAAACACCTTAGTTGAAGGGAGAATAGTAAATGTTGACTCTGTTAAAATATAGACGTTATTACTCCAATGCATTTTAAGATTAGCCATGGTAGGGTAACAAAACATATGGAAATGGGAAGAACAAGCCTTTTTGGGTGTTAAAGACATATTGTGCCTTCAGGAGTAGGAATTACATTTTGTCCCTTCTAAGCCTGAACTCTAGAGATGTTCCAGCTTCCCTTTGTAGATACTATATATCAGCTCTGGGCTGTGCAGAAGAACCTCAAAATTCTGTAACAGCTCACCTGAGATGTGCATTTGCCTTCCCTCAAGGGAACTATAGTATTATGAACATCAGCAGTCTTTCAGAAACACATCCTCAATAAGAAATACGTGAAGTTCAAACATAACACAGCTCTGTTGGTATTTAAAAATCTCTGGAATTTGGTTTTTCTTTGCAGAAAAGCTATGCGTAAAGAAAATACGCGGGGGAAGGAGCGGGGGGACAAAACCAAGACAAATTTATGAATAATTAAGGCAGCATGTCTGTATATTTTGAAAAAGAAGTCTCATTTAGTGGCTACTGTGAGACAGATGGAGTATTTGCAGTTATTTATCTCAAAGTTTTTTCTTTTCTCTGTTATCTCATTTACTATTACTATTTGCTACGGGGTGAAGCCTCTTAGATAAATTAATATGGACTGCTGGCAGCTGCCTGTAGATAAAGAGCTATCTTATAATGACTGCAGTAGCATTTTAGCTGCAACTAGATTTCACTTCTGTCATCATCTCCATATCTGAGGTAGAGAGGTAGAGCAGCTAACGAGAAATGTTTAAACCAGACTTAGAATCATTTGCTCCAGTGTCTGCGCACGCCGATGTTGGGAATTAATCAAGACTAACGTTATGTTCTTCTTCCCCATTTGTAATCGCCTTTTTAATTTTGACATTTCCTTATGGGAAAGCAAAACATTATTATAGGCTATTTAGGAAAAGTTTCTTCCTACACAAATCTTGTAGGGTCCAATTTCCTCCCCGTATTTGGCTTTTCACAGAGTGGTTCTCAAATTTATCTAAGTAGGAATGTCTTGACCTAATTAGTGACTGAAATTTAGCTTTAAAGCAGCACGTTTTCCTCCTCTTTCAGCCTTTGATGTGATTCCTCTCCCCAAAAGGCCACTCACCATAATCTGACAAATCTAATTTTTGAAGATATTGATTAATAGACATTTAAACACTTGTCTAAACACT